TGACAAAAATATGCCCTATCTGCCTAGGGATGGGATATTCCTCAATTTTTTTGCTGGTGAAACGGTTGCACATTAACTAAAATGAATAAATATTAATTGCAGCAGGGACTGAGAGGAATCTGTTCTCATTCCAGTGCAAGTGCCCAGCCACTGGGCTCTCAGGTCATTCTGGCTTATTAAATTAAGCATTACAGAAGGTAATGCTTAATTACAGAACATGCAGGAGCCTCATTACAGAACCTTCCTCTGCTTGTCCCTCTGGAGGATTTTCCATCTCTGCTGACTCCTTTCTTCAAAGCAACTTGCTTAATCTGATTTTATTGTCCTTCAGGCATCCTCCTTATTGTAACATTAGCTAGCCAGGATACCAGTGTTAAAGTTAGTTCTTTATTTATTTTATAGAGTCTTCACAGCAGATGGGTCCTGTTCATCAGGTACCTATCTGCCTATGGGTGACTGATTGTGCTTTGGGACATTGCGATGTGACATTTTTGTAAATGTAACCAGACTGTCTAAGGTAGATGCATAGAAAGAGACTGTAAGAGCCCCAAAAACTGACAAGTTGGATTCATTTAAAGTCTTTGTATATTTAAGTACTAAGAAATTATTTTGTTCCAGTTGCTAGTGTAACTGTTCTTCGCAAATAATTACATCTTAGAGAACACAAGTACATAACATCAATCATTCTGTAGACAATAATATCTTAAATGTTGACAAGATTACCAAATAAAACTGTATTTCGTGATGTGGTAGATGCACTTTCTATAGTAAGTTTCTTTCTGGAACAAATATCCTCATATCATTGTCAATGCAACATAGTTTTAAAACTGTGTATATTATAAAGGTATCATAAAGTATTTGCTGTTTTTTCTCTCTCAGCATGTCTTTTTTAAGATTCATGCACTTCGAGTTGATCATAAAATGTCCTTCTAGATTGAATCCTGGCACACAGAATGTCAGCTCAGAAGTGCAATGTACGTTGATGCTTGGGAAGATGAAGAGTATGACAGCTATATAAATGAGCTGGGAATGTTTCCATAAGTAATAATATCCCCCCTACTCCAACTTAATTTGACTATTTTTTTTTTAAAATATCAAATGTCACAAATTTAGGTCAGAAGTTGAAAGAAAAATAGATTAATGATGATCTGGCAGTATGTCGACCTAAAAGGTTTTATTGTCACAATATCTTCAGTTAGAAAAGCCCCACTAAGGTTCTCCTTAACAGTCCTTCCCCATTCAGCAAAATATTTCGGCAAATGCTGAAAAAATATTGTGCATGCTGAACTGTTTGGTTACATATTGAAAGGCTACACTTTGAGGATTTTTTTGCTTTGTAGCTATACTTGCTCCTACTGTAAGTTTGGGTTCTGCAGTCAACAGAGCAGTGTCCAGGCCCCGGTGGAGTCTCACTGCTGTTGTGATTAAATGAGATCGAGAGGAACAGGCTTTTCTGCATCCTAAGCCATGTCTCTGGTGGCCCTTTTTTACACACAATGTCTTTTCCCAAGCCCATCACATGTATTGCTTTGATCCATGGCTTGTGTCGTATTCAGAGTATCCTCACAGTAGCATTGCATTAAAACAATTTAAAAAATACGGAATCAAACTAGAAGTTAGTTAGAAGCTAGGAAATAATGAAACCAATCTTACGCTGAACTGAGTCTATCTTGTGAATGTGCAATGTAAGACTGTCCTTGATCTTAATGTTTTTCATGTCTAACCATTTAATACTCACTGCTCTGAGGGCTTTGGAGTGGAAGGTCTGTGGAATTTTGGCTGGATCCGTTCCCCCTTTAAGCTCTGAGGAGTTCTCCCTTTGTTGGGGTCGATGTAGTTTGAGAGTTAGCGTGACTAGGCCGCTTAAGCAAAACAGTTAGCATAGCTGGACAGGCCGCTGGAAAGGACAGCTAAGAATAACAATTGAGAAAGTTCTGATACTGCACATGATGTGGGTTAGCAAAAACAAGATGTGTTCACGGACGTGCAGGTGGTCTGTTTCT